GTAGAAAAGTGTTTAGTTTTCTAAATATAAAGTTGTCTTCCTTGTTTCCTGTATCTGCGTTTCATGAGATATTATCATAAACACACCATGAATATTTAGTAAAAAATTTAATTACATTTGGTTTAAACCTTTGACTACTGCATCGTTTTAATACAGTTCACTATAGGAGGGGGGTAAGAACAATATAATTTTGATTAATTTTATGGATTTTACCTGTTTTAACACTCAATTTAAAGAAGCGATAAAAAATATGACGAATCACTCATTTTCTATGAAAAATACATTGTAGGCCCAGCAGTAAATAGTGAAATTATTTGCAAGTATAATTACTTGTTTATTTAAATTTCTCTCGTGATTAAAATAATTTTAGAGACAATGCAATAAAAATGTCAGGAAACACAAGTAAATTGGTATAAATATTTTGAAGAAAATGTCTTCAAAAAGCCGACTGAACTACGTGAAACCCTTGGATAATTCTACGGTTAGAAAGGACACGATGAGTACAGGTATGACTTAGATTCGTTGACGAAAGTGCTCTCAGGAAATTATTAAAGCTATGTGTTAACAATTCGTTAACAAAGTCATGTTCTATAAAATGATTTCAATACTTTAGCAAAGATAGATTTTCTTAAAGTATTAACACTATCTTAGCAAAGCTGTGTTCTACAAAATTATTTCAACACTTTAGCCAAAATGTGTTTCCTTAAAGTGTTAACAATTGGTTAGCAAAGCTGTGTTCTACAAAATTATTTCAACACTTTAGCCAAAATGTGTTTCCTTAAAGTGTTAACAATTGGTTAGCAAAGCTGTGTTCTATGAAATCATTTAACTCTTTAGCAAAGTCGTGTTCTATAGGATAATTTTAATACTTTACCAAAGTTGTGTTCTATAAAGAGTTAATACTTTAACAAAGCCATGTTCTATATAACTGTTTCAACACTTTAGCAAAGCTGTGTTATACAAAGTGTACTTAGGACGTTAACAAACCTCTTTCCCATAAATATATATTTTAGTACGATATGAAATCTATGTTCTTTAAAACGATTTAAATCAGCATATCTGGCTGTACAGTATGTGTTCAGTAAATGAGACAAGCCTAGATCTACAAAGTTTTTTCATTACGTTTCTAAATCTTGTACTAGAAAAAGTTTTCAGGACGATAGCAAAGATGTGTTTTATAATGAGTTTCCATGAAGTTTTTCTTTTTTTTTTTTTATTTTTTTAATTTCGTGAC